TCGTTAGCACGGATGAATCAGTTACATCTTGTTCCTACTACTACCGAGTAGAGGACATTTCATTCACAGACCTTGATCTTTAAGGTAAAAGTGGGCCTTAGCTGGCTCACCTGATTTACCCATTCTCGTTGGATGATCGGCCCTTTCTTAGACTTGGTGAACTCCTGTCGCGATGAATTAAACTCTGTTCCATGCCCCGCTGCTTGTCAATCACATCGGAAAGTCGTTGGGTCGGCGGAGACCTCTTTCGGCAAAGAATTATACCACAAAGCCCCAACTAGGTACTACCACTTATAGGAGTCTTCTTTGCTAGTAGAATGCCCCCCACGAGAAGAAAGAATAGTGGGATGCTCACGCTCTCGTTGGACGTGACAGTCAGTTACAGTGGGTAAACTAACGAAGGGAAGAATTTTATTTAATCACAGAATTGAATCGGGTCTCATCCCTTCGATTCCTCGCTGCATACTTCAATGAGAAAGGAAAAGAGCTTTGTTGCGTGCTTCTTCGGTTGTGGTTGCAAGATCTCGCTTTCAGTTCGAAAATGTGTACGTAGCTTCCTCGTACAATAGCTTTCTCTCTCTCTCTCTCTCTCTGAGAGAGTGATCGGGAAGCATTCGCCCCTCCGTATCTGACCCTGACCCACGCTCTAGCCCTCTTTCGTCGTCCAAGTCGCATACCTCCTAAACAATCTATTTGGTTTTTAAACGCGATCTATTTAACTGATTAACTGTGAAGTGGGACTTGATTCTTGTTTTGCTGAAAAGAGAAGGTACGTAGGCAGCTCTCCTAAAAAAGAGTGAAGTTCCGCCCGCATTTGAAGGCTAGCTCCTGCTTCGGAGCTTCATCCCCACATCTCACATATTGGAAAAGGCAAACTAAAAAGGGGAACTCAGTCAATAGACAAAGAAAAAAACGGATATGTTACACAAAAACAATCCAATGTTTGTCTTTCTAAAGATTTATTTTCCTTGTCGTAGTTCATATTCAAGTTGGAAAAATTCTTCTTTTTCTTCTTATTTGGAAACGGAGGGAAGGCAAAGGTCCGTAGGAGGACAACTATCAGTATTAGCTGACTGGTGACGAGGATCATATAGTTTGAGAGCTGGATCGAGGTTTAAAGCGTGGTTATGGCGGAATGTGCCCTATCCCGCGAAGGAGAGGAACCTTAAATGTAAGGAACTTAGGTCAAAACTACGGTCTTTCAGCCGGTTTAGTATAGTAGTAGTTTCAAATCAATGCAAGCCAATGGAAACCCTTCCTTAGGGACAGTCGCATAGACTGAGACGTGAATGTAAAGCAAGTGTTTGGGAAGTTGGCCCGACCCGTTTGGTTTATCATAAGAAGAAATCTCGGAGATCATCAAGGCCTACCATATTAATGGGATCTCTGGTAGTAGGCCCAAGCCCCGGAAGACAAGTGAGTCTTAATAACATAAGCGAGAATGCAGAGGTCTTGTCAAAGCCTCTTCAATCATTGAATCATTGTTCAGCGCTTTCTCTCGCAAGCCTCTATGGTCAATGGGAGCAGCAAAAGATCAAACCCCACCCCACTCGGTTCAAGCCGAGGAGTTCCAGTTCTTAAGATTCGGAAATCCTAGTGCGCTATTGCACCTTCTAGAAAGAACAATTGAACTGCCATTGGCCCGGATTCAGCCTTTACTTTGAATTAGACTTAGGCTTTAACGGGGCTTCTTCCTAAATATCAATTACCAATAGATTTCAGACTGATGCAAGGCTTGAATAGACAGGAAGAGATGGCTAAAGGAAGATTGCATATTTCTATTCAAAGAAAGCCCTTTCTTTTGAGTATCTTTAGTGAGCCTATAGATGGAGACCCTACAGAGCCCGTAAACTCCCGATTTAGACATGAAAATAGGCCATTACGGACCTTTTACTCATGGAACGAGAAGACCGATGCCACTATCGCCTCTTGGCTTTGCTTTCATATAATCTATTCGATTGGAAGGAAGTTATACGACTTTTTGACTTTGCAAGAGTAGTTTCATCGGTGGAAGGGAGGGAGAAGGTTTGGAACACCAATTCCTCTCATGAAAAGACTAACTTCCCGGGAAAAGAGATGCTTCCTTCCTCTTACTTCCTTTATTCGATGCGGCTATTCATCTAGTTGTGTATATAAAGAAGAGTTCTTTCTTTCATTCAAGGAAGGGTTCCAAACCTTTTATAAAGAAGGGATATTCCTCTGATTCCTCTTAGGCGATGTCTGGATCTCAGTCTATCTCTTTCTCTTTCAGTTCTTTCCGTGGTGGAAAGGAAATCAATCCACTCGTCCTAACTAAGATGCCACTAGATCAACTCCTGAAGGAATTCCTTACCAAGAAAAAGAGGGAGAGGAGCGAGAGATCACGTGGTGGTGCGTATATAATACCGTAAGCTTTTCCCATATATATATATATATATATATATATATATATATATATATATATATATATATATATATATATATATATATATATATATATATATATATAT